ATTTCCTGACCACCTGTCCATGTGATAGTTTCATCTGTGTTTACTCAGGGAGCTCAGAAAACTTTAGATTCAATTCCAGCATTCAGCCTTGGAAAGGAATTAAGACATGTAACCAAAAGGCTGTAACCATCCAGTGTCTGGTTTGATCTCAGACTTGTCCAGGGCTCTCAATTATGCCAAACTCCTGCACCACAGCATGGCAAGGGCTCTGGATGTGGGCACCCTGCCAGTTGGTGCACGATTACACCCCTAATCAACAGGAATGTGGCAAAAGTCATCATACCTTTTGAAACTGGAGAGCTCCTGAGGTGAGGAAATCAAGGTGCAGGCTCTAACCAGTTCTTCTCCACAGGTATGTGCGCCAGGGCCTCTTGTCCTGTATCTCCTCCCTGCTCCTCAGTGTCCCTGCAGAGCTGCTCCTGGCAGACATGACAGAGGAGCTGCTGGAGACTCAGTCCTGGCTGGGAGGTAAGATATGGTGGGGTACACTAGTGCTGTTCTGGTTAGTGTGCAGTCTGTGTGCAGCATCTCTTCGATTGTGAGGGCAGCAGTCATGCCCTGGCCTTGTGCACCCGAGATTTGCACGATCAGCAAGTGGCAGAGCACCCTGCGTGCTGCAGGGGTGGAGTACCCTAGTACCTGAGGCGTGATGCAAGAGCTGTGTGTGGCATTTCAAACCGTGACCGTCCTCACAGGCCAACCAGAAAAATCCCCAGAAGTATTCTGGGCCCATTTTCTCTCTCTGAACATCCACCACCTACCTCAGGAGCTGCAGGAAGTATTGTCACATTGCCTGTTATACCAGGCAGTGATTTTGGCCAGAAGTGACACACAAGGCTTGCATGGCCCATTTACACCATGTGCACAGGAGAGGGGTTGTTCGTGCTAAAATCAGGAGGAAGAGGAGCATGGCTCCATCTCTCACTTCCTGTTGCTGATGGAAAGAACAACCTATAAAACACAGCAGATGACTTTGAATGCTGCACTCAATGCACCCGAGCTCCACACAAGCTGTGTCCCTGGGTTCTGCACAGGTCAGTGCTCAGGTTCTGCAGGGAGCTGGAGCTGACAGAGGAATAATGCTGAAGCCTCCCCTGTGTTCTCAGGTGACTCCCGTGACTCCCCGTCTGGTGTCCTTCACCGCTCTCTTGGTGTGTGGCTGCCCACAGGGAGCAAGCAGGAAGTGACACTGAGCTAGCTCTGATCCTGGCAGGCTGGGGAGCTCTGTGCCCTTTGAAAGGAAGAGCTGCCTTGTGGGGCCCAGGAGTTCACTTTTCCCATGACATGGTGTGCTCTCAGGAATCTGCTTGTCTCTGCAGTTAATGCTGCTGTTACCAAGTGCAGCCTTTCAGGAATGCATTTTCAGCACGAGGAGCTGCATAATCTGGTTTTATTGAGTTATTTGAGGGGGGAGGAGGATGAGAGAACTGGTAGCAGCTTCTCATGGCTGTAGGGAGTGTAACAGCCGTCCTTTTACATGTAGTGCTTTTGCAGGAAAACTGCACAGTTGATCCTGGTGGGAATGAACGCAAGGGCAAGATCACAGCTGTCATACCAGAGAAGGGAAACTTGCTGTAGGGGTTGTTCCAAAACCTTAAAGAATTCAACTCAGCTCCTCCTTTGGTCAGATGTAATCTAAGTGCAATTTAAAGGGCTTCTAGAGCTCCTTCCTGGAACACACCTGCATCTTGGGCTGTGCCTTTGCTGTTTGTTGTGAGGTTGGTAAATGGCTGCACAGGGAGGCACTGGGTGCTCCCTGCTGATCCTCCAGGTCAAGTGTGACACTGGAGTCCTACTTCTGTGACTGAGTCATGGGTCTGAGCTCATGGACTTGCTGTTTCTTCATGACTCTTCCAGACAAGATTTGCCAGAGGTGTTACATGTTAGCTGTGCTGTGGCTGGGAGTGACGAGCTGCCCTGCACAGGAGCCTCGTGGCTGCTTTGGGTTTCAGATTAAAGCCCTGCCTTTCTCCTGCCATGGCCAAAGCACAGTGACGAACACTGGGATAGGAAATGTTATCCATGAAGTGTTGAGTAGAAATCCACAAATCTGCTCCAGTTTGTAGTTACACCAGGGCTGCACAGACTGCTGTAGTGACCCTGAGACTGTGTCTGCTCTTCAGCCTTTGAGCTGCCACCAGAACTGTTCACAGCGTGGACTAAGAAACTACTTTGGTCACTGTCATGGCACTGTCTGCTTACTGGATGCTTTGGGACATTTCAGCTGGGGGGAGATGTGAGAATCCACCTTGCACTTGTCCATCCTTGCCCTTAGTGCCATGCTGAACCTACTGGTGAGCAGCCTGATCCTTCCTAGGGGAGGGAGGGAGGGAATACCTAAGCACTTCTAGGAAATGGTTCCTTTGATTCCTCAGCAGCTGCCTTTGAGGGAATTCCCCACCCCTTGCAAGTACTGTGGAGCTGTCATGGCTAAGTAAGTGTGGTTTATGTCAGGACCCAAAGGATACTCTGGTGCCCTGTGCCTCCCCTGCAGTAGCAGCAGTGCCAGGTCCAGGCTCATGGAATAGAAACAGCACCAGCAGCACTGTGAGCTTTTGAGCTTGTTCCAATCTGCCTCGTAACCTCCCCTTTTGCCTTCTGTAGAGGGAGTGTGGAAGCAGCTTGGGGCAGCTCTCCCTGTTATAAATAGCCTGCTCCTGGCTGTGAGTCATGTGTTTGGGCTGACAGTGCCGGGCTCCCAGCACACAGCTCGTGCGTACAGGATATCCTCACGCAGGCTCCCTGCTCTTCCAGGCTCCCCTGCTCAGACATCCTGCGTGCATCCTGGTTGGGACTTTGCAGGCCTGTTAAGGGCCCCTGGAATAACAGCTGCTGGGAACAGCCTCATGCCTGCCCTAACGTGCTGCATAACATGGGGAAGAACTCGGTTATCAGAGGACTCGTCTCAGAACGGAGAATGTGGGACCTGCCTCCTTTCCCCATTGGAATGGCAGCATGGCCCCAAATTCAGGAGGGAGCACTGACCATTCTGAATTGCAGGAATGGCAGAATGGAGACTTTAGGCTTTGGAGAAAGTGGATTTCTAATTGCAAGCTGCATTCACGCTTGTAGCTCAGCTGTACAAAGGTTATGTGCAGCTCGAGGGCGCAAGCACAAATTCTGGCACGGAGGTTGTCCTGTGGAATCCAAGATCAGACAGTGTCTGAAGTGTTTCAACCCAACTGTTCGTTTCTCCTACAAGACTGACCAGAGCACTGTCCTGTGTGGCAGTCAGGGCTGGGCTGAGCTCATGCTGCTTTAGATGCTCGAGTTCGTGCATCTCTGCCTTCGGGCCTAGTGCAGGTCCTGCAAGTGCTGATGTCCAGCCCAGCCACAGGTGCAAACGCCGTTGTGTTTAGTGCTGTGACTGTCAGTGGATAGTGAGAAGTGCTAAGGGCAATTTTTCCCATTTTCCAACTCACAGTGGCTGCTTCTTTTGCAGATGTGGTGGAGAAGGATCCTGATGGGGACTGCAGGAGGCTGGCCCTGCAGAACTTACTGCTAATGGAGAACCTGAAAAAGAAACTTGAAGCTGTCCCTTCCTAGCTGAAAGGGTAACAGAGTGACCTTTAGCTCGTGCTCTTGCCACCTGGATGTGTTCGGGCATTGCTGGGGCCTCTTCAGCAGTCACCTGGCTGGAGGAGAGGAAGAAGGGGGAAGGGTGCTGAGCTGGGAGCCAGCAGCTCTGACTTGACATCTGGACTTTGTAGTGGAGGCCAATTGAGTGAGCTCTTGGTATCCGGTACAGCGAGTACAGATGCAGGAAGGCAGCGAGCGCTGCCATCCTCCCCCAACCCCCACCCAGCTATTTATAACCCTGGCAGGTCTGAGCACTCAGCTAAAAATACGGGGAAGATCTCATGGAGCCTTCTTGTCAGAGAAATAGGAGGGCTGGGGAGAGCCTCTTGCCACTTTGAGCTGCCCCTGCCAAAGGCTCCTACCCCCTGAGCAGGCAGAGTTTGGGGTGACAGCTGTTGGCCTGCTCCTGGAAGGGGTGGCATGGACTGGCACTGCTGATGAGATGCAAACACTGGATAGCTACACTGAATTGCTGAAAATGTACTGGACCTAACTAACATTCAGATGTTGACCTTAAAATCTCTTCCCCACCCTTCTCCAAAAGCAACTTTATATTCACCCCAAGTTCTGAAGCAAATCACAAACCACGAAAAAGAAAAATCATCTAAGCAGAAGGGCTGGTTGGGAAGAGATGTGTGAGTGACCTGATTACTGCCCCTTGGCGGGGCAGGGTGACAGGCTGAGAGGTGAGCAGGACCTTGGTTGGTACACTGAGCTTCACTTCTCACAGTCCTGCTTGTGCCAGGGGAGAAATTTGCATCTGAACAAATAACTGGAACAGAGGGGCTTGATGTAACTGGTGTTTGGAGAAGGAGCTTCCCAGTGAGAAAGAAGCTTCACTTGCTCAGAGCAGGGTTTGGACCAGGAGGTTCCAGGGTTGCTTTCAGCCCAGCCATTCCATGGCTCTGAGGCTTAGCCCAGATGTCTGTAAGTGGTCTGCCCCCCATGACCCTCTAATGTATTTAAATACAGAAGCTTTGGGTGGGGGAAGTCTGCCTTCAGCCTGCAGGAGGGGAAGTTTGACTTTTTAACTGTCCTCCTTCCAAAGGGGATGGAGATTGTTTTCAGAAGGTCTCACTTCTAGCAATTATAGATCAAAGTTGTACTTGAAAAGTTTGTCAACTCAGTTTCCACTTCAGTTACTCAGCTCTTTTCTGTACTCAGGAAAAGGCTTGAAAATGCAGTTCTGTTTTTTTCTGTCTCAAATTTATTACAGTACTAAAACCAGCTTTTTAACAGGATGTCTGTATGTTGTGTTTGAGAGAGCCTATTAACTCCAATACTGTTGCTTGTACAGCCAAGCAGGAAAAATAAATTCCTTGGTAATAACCAAAAAGCTCTGTGACAGCAGCACGTGACTGATCTGGGACCCCTGATGAGGGTGCAACAAATGACCTGGCATTAAAGTCAGCTTTGCAGTGTCAGGAGTCCTCCACTTCATCAACCACTTCTTCTTCCACCTCCCTGTGGTCCGTGCTGCCGTGGCCGGCGTGTACTGGAGCCAGGGCTGGGCTCATGGGCACGCCTGCCCCTCGCAGCACGGCCTCCAGGGTCTCTGGGGACACGAAGTAGCTCAGGTGGGAGGCTGGAATTCTCTTCTGCATCTCTTCCAGGCAGCGGTAAGCCTAAAGGAATGCAGAGATCACTGTCAGGGCTGCAGTGTGCAGGACCCCAGTAATCACTGAATGTGCTTTGCACATCAAAAATGAGGTTAAGCAGCATAGCTGGAGGAGCTCGCCCTTGGCATCCTCACGTTCCATCACAGCAGCAGGTCACAGTTCAGCAGGAGCACTGGGGGTGTGTGGCACATCTACCCTGAAGGAATGATTCACCATTTCCTCAAATAACTGCAGTTTTACAGTTTGCTTTCTTCTCGGGCCAGGTGGCAAATGCAGTGTGGCATGATTGCTGAGGCACTCACCCAGACAGACCCTCTGCTCTCATAAGTGGGAATGCTTAAGAATCTACCACCATTTATGCTCTGTGTCCTGACAGCTTTCTTTTCCTCTTCTCATCCCACAAAGTGAAAAATACAGCTGTAGTTCCTGAGCTATGTCCCAGCCTGCTGTGCAGCTCAGCTCCTGCTGTGGAATGCCTTCTTCTGTGAGAGCCACCCTCCCCCAGGCTGCACAGGTGTACAATATGGGCTCTGTATGTTGGAAGAATGAAGGCCACTCACCGTGTGGAATTCCTGCTCTTGTGCATAATGCTGAAGCAGAAATCCCAGGACATCGCCGTGCCGGAGGGCGCCATCGAAGTCCTGCTCAGCCAGGAGCAGCTCACACTGCCTGACTGCCTCCTTGGGGTCCTCAGGGTAAACTCTAGGAAAGGGCAAAAGGCAACTGTCACAGCCCAGGGAGTGTTCAGCTTGTCAGGCCAAGGACAGGGAAGAGGTTTTGCTGAATTGTGTTCCATGACAGAAATCCAAACAAAACCCAGAAATCCCCCATGCCCTGGGCTGATCCCACAGTGTGGGCAGCAGGGGAGGGGGGGATTCTGCCCCTCTGCCCCCTCAGCTGAGACCCCCTTGCAGAGCTGCCTCCAGATATGGGGGAACCAACAGCACAAGGACATGGAGCTGCTGGAGAAAGTCCAGAGGAGGCCACAGAGATGCTCCAAGGCTGGAGCCCCTCTGCTCTGGAGCCAGGCTGGGAGAGCTGGGGGGGTTCACCTGGAGAAGAGAAGGGTCCAGGGAGACCTGAGAGCCCCTGCCAGGGCCTAAAGGGGCTCCAGGAGAGCTGGAGAGGGACTGGGGACAAGGGATGGAGGGACAGGACAAGGGAGAATGGCCTTAAGCTGAAGAAGGGTAGATTTAGGTTGGGTATTACGAAGAAGTTCCTGACTGTGAGGGTGGGGAGGCCCTGGCACAGGTTGCCCAGAGAAGCTGTGGCTGCCCCATCCCTGGAATTGTCCAAGGCCAGGTTGGAGGGGGGCTTGGAGGAAACTGGGCTAGTGGAAGGTGCCCCTGCCAATGGCAGGGGGTGGAATGGGATGGTCTTTAAGGTGTCTTCCAACCCAAACCATTCTGTGATAATCACGTTTCTGACTACATCTCCCTTGGTCCAGACACTTCTTTTTCAGGCTACCTTTCCAACTTTAATGTCAACAGCACTTTTAAAAATCATATCATAGTTTCCCTACTAGAAAAGTGTCCCAGCAGCTTTTAGAAGAGAGGTTGCAAATTACTTATTTAACTGCAGATGCTGGTACAACTGCTGCTCTGCTGGGATATTTTTGTCACTTCGTTTCCCTGCTCTGTGGCTGCAGCTCACCTCTGAGCATGGATGAACCGCTTCATCAGGGTCATCCTGCTCTGCAGGTGGGCAAGTTTGCTTTCCTGTTCCACAGGGCTTCTGGCCTTTGCCTTGGAAAGGCACTTGTAGGCTTCTGCCAGCGCTCTGTGGGCTTTCTCATAGTTCTGATACTCATCAATCTCTACCTGCAAGAGGAGAAAGAAGATGAAGATCTTGCTCCAGAGCTACCAAACCAAACGTTCAGCAGTCACAGAAGGGGCAGTACCTGAGCACATGCATCATAGAAACCTGCCAGGAGGTCAAGGGCCCTGCCTTTAGTGTAGAAGCTGATGATATTCGCAATAATCTTTGCGTCCTTACGCCAGTCCAGCGACTGCAGGTAGTTGGCTGCCATGATATAAATCTCTCTCTGTCTGGAAACTCCCGCAAAGAAGACAATTTTCTCTGTATCCCCAGATTTCAGCAGTGCCCTCATAGCCTGGCAATGGAAATGGGGACACAGGGGGAAAGAGGGAAAATACTGTGAATGCAAAACCACCAGCCAAGATGGCTCAGAAGCCTTGTCTGAGTAGTTACTGTAGGAAGTCTGCTCTAAGGTTTACTTTTCAAAGCACCCTCGTTTTGAGGCCATCCAGGCTGACCTTTAACTTGTTTCCTGCTTGTGTGTATTTCTTGGTGGCCATGTGGTAGTTGCCTTGTCTCATGCAGCAGTCGGCAATCTGCTCCAGCAGCTCCCTCCGAGCCTCCTCGGGGAGATCCTGGGAGCCCTTGGAGACTGTCATCTTCTCAGCCAGCTCCTCGGTGATGGTCAGGTTCTGCTCCAGGCAGAGCTGCAGAGCTTCGTGGTACTGGTGGGAGCAAGAGAGCAATGAGGTGTTGCAAACACCACTGTGATACCTCACATTGCTTGGGGTATAACCCACAGAACCAGCTGCACACACAGGCAGCTGAGGGTGCTCCGGAACACAGGTGTAGTAGTTCCATGTCCCGACATCAGCCCCTGTTCAGGCACACACTGTTCCATTTGTTTGCTAAGAACGTGTTTGTTCTTCCATGACGCCACTGGTTCTCACCTGTGGACACGAGGCTGCCACTGAAGATTCAGCCATTTAGACTCTGAACGTGAGACTTTCAGTCATACAAGTCAGATTTGTCAGGTATGATTGATAACATTAAGGTTTTCAGCAAGTACAAATAAATTGAAAGCTTTTGGGAAATATTTTGGTACTTCCCATATTGGAACAAATTCTGAGTAGGTTACACCAGAGCTTTCAGCCCAAAAAAAGAGCTACTGTGCCCTTGCAGAACGTGGCAGAACAGCAGCCAGAGGAATGGGCACAGGATGGATCTGGTACCCAGCGCTCTGGCAAGGCCCTGAGTCCCGGCGTGAGAGGAGACTTGAAACCCTGCAAGTGTCTCTGAGTATCTGTTTACCTGCACAGATAAATGTCTGTGTGCAGGTACACACCTCCACCTGTGCAGGGGGGCCCAGAGGGCTCAGCTCACCTTCTTGGCCGTGAGCAGCAGCTCCATTGCCTTCTCATACTGAGCGTGTTCCACGAAGAACTTGGAGCAGCGGGCGAGCAGGGCCGGGTCTGACTTCTCGTCCAGGTCCTCAGCAATGAGCTGCAGGGCCCCGAACTGCTGCGTGGCAAAGGCCAGCTCCAGGGCTTTGGAGAAGTGTCCTGCCTGCAAAATTAGGAATGAGGCTTCAAAGACTAAAGTAAGTACTACAGAACCAGTTCACAGGATGCCCTGGAATGGGTTAATAAAGCATTACCCACCACAATGACTAATAATCAGGACATAGTAAGAACCACAGTTGATTTAACATTCCTCTGCTGTAGGAACTGCTTTAGTTTAGGGTTTGAGAGCTTTTACTAAAAAGACATTTACCTTGTGGTATAACATGACAGCTCTGTCCATCTGCTCCCCCTTTTCCTCGTAATAGCAGGCTGCCTCTATCATGTCTTCTGGCGAGCTCAGGAGAGCCAGGTTCATCAGCTGATCATCTAAATTGTTTGCCTGTTTGAAAGCAAAGGTTTGGCTTGGGGTGTGCAGACACAGATTTCATAATTCTGACTTCTGGCAAGCCTGTGGCTTTGTGCTGTCACACAAAAAACCATTACCCCCTTCTGTGTAAAACCTCTACACCCCAGCGACTTTGAGCTTCAATTATGGTCATTTCTTTCAGGCAGTTTCTGATGAGCTGTACAACAAAATACTGTCCCAAACCACCAACCTTGTATTGATCCACCTTTGGTAGAAGGTGGCAGCAGAAACCAGGAGCACCTTCACCGTGGGCTGTCCATGAGCAGGCAGTGTCTCATGGGAGAGAATGGGCACAAAGACCTCATTCTGCCATCCCTGGGTGCCGGTTTTGGGGCCAACTGTCCCTCTCCCCTACCTTGCAGAGGCGGATGGCGTTGTTGAAGGCCTGTGCCCGGGTGTAGAAGTGCACGGCCTGCCTGATGTCCTCCTGGCTCTCGTACTGCCGCGCCAGGTGGTAGGAGGCTGCCCAGCTCCCCGTCTCGTTGGCAATCTCGGCGGCCTGCCAAGGGCATCACATGGCCTCACTTCGTGCCCCTGCTCAGCCCAGGAATGAGCTCTGGGGCAGGTGGGAGCAGGCTGCCTCACCTTCTGAAGGTTGCCCTGAAAGCAGTGGACACGGACGAGGGAGAAGTAATCCTGAGCCAGTGCATAGTATTGTAGCGCGGACTCCAGGTCTGACTGGCTCTCCAGGTACTGCGCCCACCACTTCCACAGGCTCCTGGAAAAGCAACAGTATTAACTGCAGGAACAAGAGGCTGCGTTTCTCACTCCTGGAGAGCTTGAATACAGACTAGATAGGTTTTTTAGAACACAGACTTCACCCCAACCCAAGGGTGACACTGCAAGGTCTGCACTATACAGGAGGTCAGCCTGGAGAACCAGTGTGGCAGTTCTTAAGCAAGATAATCCTGAAAAGCTGTGAGAGGATAATAACATGGATGAGGCAGGGGTTGAATGTGGCTGAGAGGAGTCACACTCCTCCATCCCTGCTTTCATCATGAGCTGTATTTCAACCCTGACAGCCCCATGTGGGAGAAGGAACAAGCACAGCACTGACTTGTCTTTCATCTTGTTGACGTAGTTCTCCAGGGCTTGTAAGTCTTCAGAGAGCATTCGGGGCACCTCGAACCTGTGTGTGTCTGACTTCTCATAGCTGTGGAGAAGAAGAACATATTAGATATGAAATGACAACTTCCTTTACTAGCTCCCTTGCTGTGTAACACATCCATTTTTGTCTGCCAGCTGTCCACTGACAACACTGGCAACGACTGCTTCAGTTGTACAAGTTTACTGTAAGACCAGCTGCAGTCCACCAGTATCATCAAATATTAAAAGTTCAATGCTACTGGAATGAGGGAGCTGTGATCTGTGACCATAGGGCAGTAAATACTTCAAAAGTGCCAGTGCTGGCCCCAAGAAGTATTCCAAAAAGTTCCCTAAACACCAAGAACTGAAAAGGTCACAAGAGCCCCGGACTTCCACATTGTGCCTCATCCTTCTGCCACCCCATGCAAAACATCAGCCTCTGCCACTGCCCTTAGCCCAGCACCCACCTCTCCTCATCCTCCTGCCCACCAGAGCCCCCAGTGAGTCTGTCTGAGCACAGCAGAGCTCTGCTTTGATTCTAAACAGCAGTGACATTATTGTATTATTATTATTACTGTCATCATCATCATCATTAGTAGTAGTAGTAGTATTATGGAGACTTCATAAGGTAAAACTCATATAAAAGCAAGATTTCAGACAACTAATATAAGACATTAAAAATCCCCTCCCCTAACTTCTCATGGGACTCAGTGGTCACAGGAGAGGATCAGGCACCAGAAGCAACCAAGGCAAACTAAATTCTGCTCCAGCAGTTGTGTCCGTGACCCTCAGGAAAAGTAAAGAGGTTTTGTCATGGAAAGGGAAGGAAAAGAGGGAAATGGTCTTCCACAGACAAGCATAGGATTGGATATGAGTGGGGTTCAGCTCCTGGCCCTGACAGACTCTTGACCTTTCTGACACTACATGATATTCGCCTGGGAAGGTACTGGGAAGTTTCACTGGCAATGCTTTCACTCTGTGAGATAGAAAGCACCAAAACCAGGAAAAGTTTTTTATTAAATATTACTGGTCACCATCAGCTGTCCCCCTTTGCCTGCCCCCACGGGAGAACAAGGCTCCCAGTGCCCCAGGCTGGGCCTTACTGGGTGAGTGCCAGGCTCTGCTCCCCCGCCGCCTCCAGGTGCTTGGCATAGTTGCAGTGGGTGGTGCGCAGGTGGACCCGGTCCTGGGCCTCGGCCGTTTCCAGGGCCTTCTGCCACTGGTTGGAGGCCTGGTAGAACTTATTCAGGAGGTCGAACCGTCCGCAGGCCTTGTAGAGTCGCTCCGCATCCTCCTGCGGGGGGAAACCCAACCCCGTCAGCAGCGCCCGCGCCTCGCGGGGCTCACACAGACCCAGCAGGGCAGCCACCCGAGCAGGGCACTGCAGCCATCAGAGCAACAGTCACTCAGGCAGGGGCTCCACCAACTGCATCTACGTAGCCTGGAATAGCGCGGTACTGGGAAACAGGATGTTTATGTAAAAATAAGGGAAGCACTCAGATCCTGGCATTTATTGTACAGAACCGACTGGGGGGTGACACGAGCAAGACATGGATGATTAAACGCTGCCATCAGGAGTGTGGACACCAAACAAGGGACATATGCCGGGGTGGGGAGGTACAGCCACGCTGCCCATCCAGGGTGAGGCCTGGCAGAAGGTCCTGGCAATTGGGGTTTTGGAATTAAGGTGCTACGAGCCAAGGGAACCCCTGTGACCTCCCAGCAGGTCAGAGGCAGCAACGCTGTTCGTGGACAGCAGAGCTCCATTCCTGGGAACAAATGCCATCAGTTTATGGCAGAATTAGAACAGGAGGGTTTTGCTGATGCTGACGCAAGGGTGAGCAAATTTGGAACTATTATTTTTACGCTCTGAGAGGTGCTCACTCTTGTGGAAGGAGCATTTTCCTGCTCCACCCAACTGCTGTCCAGCTGAATACTATATTTAGTAAATTGAGATTATCTGTCCAAGACAGAAAAATAGTTTCTGTCTCTTATTGTTTCAAATTCAAAAAAGCATAGAAAGTGGAAAAGGAAGATGCCTGCCCTACGATTCTGTACGAGATGGAAAAAAAACAGTGGAACTGCATTTGTTTTGCTGCAGTTCCCCTCCACCTCTCCCAGCAGATCTAAACATCCAAGAGAAGAAGCACTGACACTTTTCAGCCTCACGGCTTTCTCTGCAAGGAAGCTTTTCCAAACATTTAGTTTGAATTTTCCTACTTTTAACTCAGAATAGTCACTCTCTATCTTTCCAGCATTTATGATCTTCAAATAGTTGTAGATTGCTAAATACCTTTTTAAGCCAAATTCTAATTATTGGGCCATCTTAAAGATTTCCTTGCCTGTGAAACCTTTCCAAGAGCGGAACAGTTTGCACTGGTTTTCTCCGAACTTCTTCCAGATCATGAATATTTTTTTTCTGCTAATGAGATACTTCAGGGTGGAAATCACGTTCCAGCTGTACCTGCCCTGAATGCACAGACAGGAGTTACCAAACCCAGGCCTCAGGATGTGGCATCTCCTCAAACGCAGCCCCAAAGAGATTTTTGCTGTCATAGCACTTTGCCATTTTTTATCATTATTTCTTATCAACTGTGGGGTATTTCATCAATTCTTTCCCAGTTTTTCCCTCTTACAGATGAGATGCCTGGATGTATTATGGTTCCCAAACTAAAATTCTCTGTTTTCCTTACGGATCATGGATGAAGATGTGAATGAGTGGAATACACACAGCTCTAACTCAACAGCACCACTCAGTTTTCAATCCACGTGACAATGCTGGTCTCAGATCTCAGTTCTCTTGGCAGTCAGGGAGAGCTGGGCTCAGACACAGGGGAAGGCAAGATCTGCTCTGGGGTATTTGCTGCCAGGCTGAGCTCCAGGTGGAGGGATGAGGGACAGTTGTCCCACACACCAAACTCTGGGGAGCAGCCTGACCATGACCTCTGGCTGGGTGGGACCCAGGCAAGTTCCTGTTCACACAATGGGAGAAGCCAGGATGGAAACCTGGGTGACCAGGGATCCCTGGGACAGCACAGGCAGTGAATGTGACTGCCTAGAGCTCTCCAGCCCCAATGGAAACTTCTGTTTTGCCTAAACAACACCTCAGACCAGCCCTCGCTCTGTGGCAGCACACAACTCTAGCCTTTCACTCTACAAATAAACATAGAATCATAGAATCATAGAATAGATTGGGTTGGAAAAGACCTCCAAGATCATCAAGTCCAACCCCTGATCCAACTCTAATTACTATATCATGGCACTAAGGGCCATGTCCAATCTCTTTTTAAAAACCTCCAGGGATGGTGAATCCACCACCTCTCTGGGCAGGCCATTCCAATGCCTGATCACCCTCTCTGTAAAGAATTTCTTCCTAACATCTAACCTAAACCTCCCCTGGCAGAGCTTGAGTCGATGTCCCCTTGTCCTGTTGTTGGTTGCCTGGGAGAAGAGACCAAACCCCACCTGGCTATAACTTCCCTTCAGGTAGTTGAAGAGAGTGATGAGGTCACCTCTAAGCCTTCTCTTCTCCAGACTAAACAACCCCAGCTCCCTCAGCCTCTCCTCATAGGACTTGTGCTCAAGTCCCTTCCCCAGCCTGGTTGCTCTTCTCTGAACCCACTCCAGCACCTCAATATCCTTCCTGAACTGAGGGGCCCAGAGCTGAACACAATACTCAAGGTGTGGCCTCACCAACGCAGAGAACAGGGGAAGGATCACTTCCCTGCTCCTGCTGGCCACACTGTTCTTGATGCAGGCCAGGATGCCATTGGCCTTCTTGGCCCCCTGGGCACACTCTGGCTCATGTTCAGCTTCCTGTCAATCAGCACCCCCAGGTCCCTTTCCACCTGGCTGCTCTCCAGCCACTCTGTCCCCAGCCTGTAGCGCTGCAGGGGTTCTTGTGGCCAAAGTGCAGGACCCGGCACTTGGCCTTGTGGAACTTCATTCCACTGGAGTCAGCCCAGCTCTCCAGTCTATCCAGGTCCCTCTGCAGAGCCCTCCTGCCTTCCGGTAGGTTGACACTCCCTCCCAACTTGGTGTCATCAGCAAATTTGCTGATGATGGACTCAATCCCCTCATCTAGATCATTGATAAAGATGTTAAACAGGACTGGGCCCAGCACTGATCCCTGGGGACAACACTGGTGACTGGATCCCAGCTGGATGCAGCCCCGTTCACCAGCACTCTCTGGGCCCGGCCCTCCAGCCAGTTCTTAACCCAGCAGAGAGTGCCCCTGTCCAAGCCATGGGCTGCCAGCTTTTCCAGGAGTATATTATGGGAGACAGTGTCAAAAGCTTTGCTGAAGTCCAGATAGACACATCCACAGCCTTCCCCTCATCCACCAGGCGGGTCACTTGATCGTAAAAGGAGATCAGGTTGGTCAGACAGGATTTGCCCCTCCTAAACCCGTGCTGGTTGGCTCTGATCCCTTGTCCATGCTGTAGCTGCTGTGTGATTGCACACAGGATGATCTGCTCCATAACTCTGCCAGGCACCGAGGTCAGGCTGACAGGCCTGTAGTTACCAGGGTCAGCCTTGCAGCCTTTTTTATGGATTGGGGTGATATTTGCCAACTTCCAATCATGTGGGACCTCCCCAGTGAGCCAGGACTGTTGGAAGATGATGGAGAGCGGCTTGGCAAGCTCATTTGCCAGCTCCCTCATTACCCTAGGATGGATCCCATCTGGTCCCATAGACTTGTGAGGATCCAGGTGGCTCAGTAAGTCACTAACTATTTCCTCCTGGAATACAGGGGGGCTATTTGGTTTCCTCTCTCTGTCTACCAGCTCCAGAGGTCAATTGCCTTGAGGGCCACCTGTCTTACTGGTAAAAACTGAGGCAAAGTAGGTGTTAAGTACCTCAGCTTTCTCCTCTTCTCTATGTTTCCCTCCGAGTCCATCAAAGAATGGAGGTTTTCTTTGCCCTTCCTTTTGTTATTAATATATTTATAGAAGGACTTTTTGTTATCCCTAACTCAAGTGGCCAATTTAACTTCAAATTGCGCTTTTGTATCCCTGATTTTCTTTCTGCATGATCTAGCTGTCTTCCTGAATTCTTCGTAAGTAGCCAGCCCTTTCTTCCATAGTCGATAAACTCTCTTTTTATCCCTGATTTCCTTCAGAATCTCCCTGTTTAACCAGGCTGGTTGTCTTCCCCACCGGCTTGCCTTTCGGCACACCAGTATGGCCTGTTCCTGTGCACTCAAAACTTCCTGTTTGAAGCACATCCATCCCTCCTGGACCCCCTTGTTTTCAAGGGTTGTTTCCCAGGGTATGCTCTGGACTAGACTTCTGAATAGGTCAAAATCTGCCCTCCGGAAGTCCAGCGTAGAGGTTTTATTGTTGTTTCTCCTTGAATCTCTGAGTATTGAAAATTCTATTATTTCATGATCACTATTTCCTAGGCGGCCTTCAACCACTACATCTCCCACCAGCTCCTCTCTGTTTGTAAACAGCAGGTCTAGCGGGGCCTTACCCCTGGTAGGTTCATTTACCAGTTGATGAAGGAAATTGTCCTCTATACACTCCAGGAAATTCCTAGACTGCCTCTTCTCTGCAGTATTGAGCTCCCAGCAGATATCCGGCAGGTTAAAGTCACCTACAAGGACAAGGGCTGACAATTTCGAGACATCCGCCAGCTGCTTGTAGAATAATTCATCCCCTTCGTCATCCTGGTAGGGCGGTCTGTAACAGACACCCATGATGATGTCAGTCTTGTTGGTCTTCCCCCTGATTTTGATCCACAGGCACTCAACCTTATAATTGCTGACCTCAAGTTCAACAGAGTCAAGAGACTCTCTAACATCCCACCACGTTTCTGTGATGGCAACTACATCATAGCCTTCCTGCTGCACAATAGCTTCCAGCTCCTCTTGTTTGTTGCCCATACTGCGTGCATTAGTGTACATGCACTTCAGGTGGGCTGTTGATTTAATTCTTAACTCAGGCTTTCCATCCTTAGGATGATCACTGGAGAGCCCGGTTTCAACCCCTTCCCCCTTCAAACCTAGTTTAAAGCCCTCCTAATCAGCCTCGCTAACTTATGGGCTACAGTCCTCTTATTCTTCCTAGAAAAATGAATCCCATCTGATTTTAAGAGACTAGGTACCATGGAGTTTGCCCCATGGTCAAAGAAACCAAAATTTTGATGGTGGCACCAATTCTTTAGCCATCTGTTGAGGAGTTGGGCTTTTTTACTCCTCTCTTTATTTAACTCCTCATCCATCCCAGATAGTACAGGAACTGAGGCAAATATCACCTGTGCTCCTGTCCCCTGAACTGACTGACCCAGTGCTTTAAAGTCTTTTTTAATTATCTTGGCACTTCTTCGATTAATGTCCTCACTGCCAGCCTGGACTACCACCAGAGGATAATAGTCTGAGGGCTGAATTAACTCAGGAAGTCTCCTACTAATATCCCTCACCCTGGCCCCAGGAAGGCAGCATACTTCTCTCTGGGATGGGTCTGGGTGACATATAGGGCCCTCAGTTCCCCTCAGAAGGGAGTCACCGACTACAAGTACCCTTCTTTTTTTTTTTATACCTGTGGTTGTAATCCATCTTTTAGACATGGCTGAACAAGGAGGCTCTCTAGAGGGATCTTCTTGGCTGTCCTCTACCTGACTGTCTGGGTCCAGAGTCTCATATCTACTCTTCAAGGGCACCCTGGGGGCTGATGGGGGTCTAGAAAGAGTTCTTTTACCTCTCCCATTAGGGACCTGTTTCCATTCCCCCCCATCATTTTGGTCTGCTCCATCTGCCTTATGGCAGGAGGGGCAGGGCTTCGCTGTCTCCTGTTGGACTTCCTTAGGGTTTAAAAGGGTTTGACTCCACCAGTCAATTTCCTTTTCACTCTCCCTAATGCACCTTAATCTTTCTACCTCTTAAGTTCTGCTACCAGGCACAGCAAATCACTCACCTGCTGGCATCGTACACAGCTACCTCCTACACCATCCTCCGGTACCAACGTCAGGCTCAGACACTCAGCACACCCAGAGACCTGGGTGGCTGCATCCTTCTTCGAGGGGAGTGTCTGAGCAAACACACTCCTAGTATTAACAGCAGTAACGGCTTTTGTTTTTCTGGAAACCATTGCTAGCTTTAAAAAGCACACTCACCTACGAGAAGGGGGAGCTGGTTGTGCCCTGACCGCTTGAAATGCCTTGAAATTGTTGTGCCACACCCCTGTTAGTCTGCTCCTGGAGGCTCTTATATAGCCTCCTCTAGCACTTGCTAACGAGCCGACCCACCCCTCACTCACCTTAATCGGTTCCGAGGAGGAGCCAAGCCTGGGCAAGCCTGGGCAGCAAAATGTCAAAATGGAACTTGTATTTCCCATATCAGACCTTAAAATATATTTGTTGAAACATTTTAGCTACAATAAAATACATCCTTTTTTTAATCCATTCAAAACAAGAATGATTAGGCTTGGAAGAGACTTATGCCTCAAGAGAACAGGTTTTCTGCTAAATGCTTCACACATAAACCATCTTTAAAAGATGTTTCCTTCTTTAAGCAGTTTCTTCCATTCAGCAGTTTTTCTCGAGAGCAGAACTCTGATATAAACCCTGCCCCGGTCAGGATTTACCAGCATTCCCAGCTGGATGGCTAGCACCGCCACCCTGGCCTCGGGCTCCGGCTCCTGCTCCGCCTCCCGCAGTGCCTTGGCTCCTCTGGCGTGGCCCATGTGCCCCAGGCAGATTTTGGCAACGTCGAGCCTCTGAGTCCTCACACACATGCGGGCCATGCTCTCCCAGACTGCCTCGCTGCAGAGAGAAGAGCGGAGCTGTCAGTGCTGGGGAGAGAGGGGAGGGGCGAGGACAGAGCCACAGGGGAACCATCAGGACTCGGGGGGTGCCACAGAGACTCCACTTGCTCTGTGAAGATTGCAGAGGAACAGAAACAGGCTCACACACAAAGGGCAGCTCTTGAGCTGGATGACTCCAGGCTTAAGGAAACCTTGTGGGGTTTGATTTGCACCAGCATCTAAACTGCAGTTACACCTCTGCAGCCAGGCTGGGAGAGCTGGGGGTGTTCAGCCTGGGGAAGAGGAGGCTCCAGGGAGACATTTGAGCCCCCTCCAGGGCCTAAAGTGGCTCCAAGAGAGCTGAAGGGGGACTTTGGACAAGGGCCTGGAGGTACAGGACAAGGGGCAATGGCTTTAAGCTAAAAAAGGGTAGATTTAGATTGGGTATTGGGAAGAAATTCTTCTCCATGAGGGTGCTGAGGCCCTGGCACAGGTTGTCCAGAGAAGCTGTGGCTGCCTCATCCCTAGAAGTGTCCAAGAATGGGGCTTGGACCAGCAACCTGGTCTAGTGGAAGGTGTCCCTGCCCATGGTAGGGGGGTAGAACTAGATGGTCTTTAAGGTCCCTTCCCACCCAAACCACTCTGTGATTCTGTGTTTGCTCATATATAAAGTGTCCATCTCTGTGGTTCTTGCTGTAGCTGCAACCTGCAGACACTGAAAATATCCCCAAGTCAATGTTCAGAAATCAAAATTAAAAGTATGAGAAAAGTCTTATGTACGTAAACTTCACCCTGGAAACATCCTGCTGCTGTCCTGAGTAGCTCAAACATGGAACAGCTACTGGGAGCTGAACAGTTGCACTCAGTAACAGGGAACAATGTGAAGGAAACAACTGACCAAACGGTCGCGTTCTGCTTTAAAACTTGCATAAAACTGGCACAAAGAAAAGCTTTGTGATGCCCAGAATGAGAACTTGTCAGTGCTATGAGCCACCACTGCAAAGTCCCCTGGCCAGACGAGGCAGGGATGGGCAGAGCACCACGCTCCCGGTGGGAATGGCAGGCACAGCAGACACAGCTGACCATCACAGTGGGGGACAAGCAAAGATTTGCACACATTCTATTCACATTTGAGGCTCTTCAGAATTACATGCAATCTGTATGACTACTAAAAACCATAAGCATTGAAAATGTGTTTTTTTTCAGCACGCCAGCCCCAGCAGAGGGTCTGTGCAGTTCACAGGCATCACCACGGCACAAAGTAAAGATGTGAATTATAAAAGCAAGGGCAAAAAAGAAGAAAATAATAGAATAGAATGGCATTTCAAGTCCTGCCACCAAATTCCCTTCCAGTTTTCCTATTATTAAAATGTTTTTCTGTTTCCAGTGGCTGTGGGAAAGCCCTGCACAAACAGGGGAAAGTGACTAACCGGGAAGCAGCAGAGCAGGTGAGCCCCGACGTGCTGTTCAACACATGCACTAAAGAAAGCCATAGGAAAAATATTTTGCCTAATTTACTTTACAACTAGAGCATCTTTTATTTACAGTGCAACTGGTGTAGAGCTTTTGGGTAGTAATCAGCATAAATAAGTGACACAGACTTCATCAAGACCAAACAGTGTAGAGAAAATAAAGCAGGATCAGAAGTGTCCCACTCTAGCTGGTTTAGAAAAGCAAAAATGCACGTCTGAGTACTGTTCTGCACTTCTTACAACTGCATGGCCATGCGGAGTGGGGCTCCTCATGCTCTGCCACCACATGTCCAAGCCCCCTGGCTGGGGAGCCAAAAGGAACATTGAAACAGAGCCTGGTCATTTCTGACATGGAAGGGCCCAAGAGAAACCAGCACCAAATCCTTGTGTGCATCACCACTCAGTACAGAAATGATGCCTTGTGCCAGCAGATGTGACCTTCCTAATTTCTGAAAAGATGGAACTGGTTTCTCTTGTATTCCAGCCATCTGGAATCGGGACAAGTGGGAAAAATACCTTTAAAGAACACTGACACGATGAACATGGTGCTAGTTATGGTCACCCAGCTGTGATCAACTTGGACAGTGAGTTCTGTCCCTGGGAAAAGCTGCCAAACCTGTGCCTGGGCACAGCTGCACTTCACAGCACAGGGGAAGAAATGCATTTTCCAAGCTCTGCAGTGCCAGAAGAAGCTGCCAACAGCCACTTGGCTCTGGGTGAAGGAACGCACGTCTGTGCTGGGCTTTGTCAAGCTGACTAACAGTGAGTTTCTGAAAGGAAATCAAAGTCTTTATTTTTCAGAGCTCAGACAGCTCACAAGTTCCTCCGTGCAGGAAGATGAGAGTTCATGGGCTCGAACAGGAGAGCGGATGAGAATTCTTATTTAGACTACAGGGAGTGGAAACTTTTGAAAGGAAACAGACAACAGAGTGTATTTTAAAGTACAAAGATAACAGTGTGCTGAGAGTCACAGCAGGATTTGGGAGATGCTGCTCGTCATCTCTCGTCTCCGTTGTGCTTTCCTGGATGGCAACAGCTCCTGCCAATGTCAAAACCCAGCGGGAGCTGCTGCCCCGGGAGTTCTTGTCCCCCTCAACCTGTCTGTGACCTACTTGGACACCCAGGTATCTCTGCCCTGAGGAGCTGGGGCTCTGCCATCCCACCTCTTCTCCCTCCACTCCAAACCATTTGCTAAATGAACCTGAGAGGCTCCAGGCTGTGTGGGGGCAGCAACAAACTCAGAGGGAGAAACATCTCCAGTCAATGTGTTGTGGTTGGTTTTATTCTGCCAGCCCCAGCTGGGGATGAGCACACTGGGGTCAAACCTGACCAAAGACATTTGGGAGTGTGCAGAGCAGAGCAGAGTTGAGCTTGCATTGACTCATCCAGCACAGAGACCGCAGCAAGAGACAAGAGGGACACCAAAGAAAGGTGTCTGTGCCCATGGCAGAGGGTTGGTACTAGATGGTCCTTAAAGCCCCTTCCAACCCAAACCATTCCACGATTCTAAGAGACATGATCAGAGCAGCTCACCAGCAAAAGTACCCATGCCAAGTGAGACCACTGCCTCCCACCCCTTCTCCTGCCTCTGCCCTCCAGAACCACCCGAAGGAGAGTTTCACCTAAGGAACCCAGCCCTGCTGTGGCCAGAGGACTCCTGTACCCCCCTGGGTTTGGTCAGCGGCTGCACGGGGCAGAGTCCACAGCCAAGCCTGCTCCCTGGTCCCCGTGGAGCTGCAGCAGAGAGTGGTTTTCTCCAGCAGACATGTCCCTCACAAGAAGGACACTGCTCTCATAAGGTGCATACATGTAATATTGCAATTTTCTTAATGGAGCAAAATATTAGACAACTGTTTCTCCTTTGGGAGACCTTTCATCTTAGCACCACACTCCCCCTACTGCTACTGAGGTACACAGGTATCTCTGACACAGCAACATCCATGTGCTTGCAAAGACCATCCTGTATGCATATGTTACATGGAATCACAGACTAACCAAGCCTGGAAAAACCCTCTCAAATTGAGTCCAACCTTCAACTCAGCATCACCACCGTGTTCACCAGTAAACCATGTCCCCAGGTGCCACATCCACACACTTTCTGAAGGGCTGGTGTCTCGACCATGGCCCTGGGCAGCCCGTTCCAATGCCTGGCAATCCTTTCCATGAAGACATTTTCCCCAGTATTCAAACAAAATCTCCCCTGGCGCAGCTTGAGGCCATTTCCTCTCGTCCTTATCAATGTATTTGTTTGTATTTATCATTTGAATATATTGTTTATTGTATCTTATTAAAAATCTAGAAAGGTGCCAGAGTAACACCACCCTGTGAAACACAAAAAATTCCAAAGGACTTTACAAAAACAAACTACCACAGAGGGTCCCACTCGACAGGTACAAACCACAGACCACCACAGAGCACTGAGCAATGCCACAGACCCTGTGTCACCAAAACCCATGTTCCCAAACCCGGGTTGGGGCCAGGACACTGGGACTGATCCATGGGACTGATCCTCCACAGCTCCTGCAGAAAGACATGGGGACCTTCAGCCAGAACCTCTTTTACCTTCCCCTTGCCAAGCCACTGCCAGCATCTCCACACTGTGGTGACCAGGGAGAGCAGACACTTTTTATAACACCACACTGTTTGTTAGAGATTCCAAATGAATAGTAGCACTCATGGTACCCAGCAGGAGCAGGCAGCGCTGCAGGCACGAGAGGGAGGGGAGGGGAGGGGGAGGAGGGGAGGGGGAGGAGGAGGGGAGGGAGGGGAGGGAATCCTGGGAGCATCCACAATGCACTTCCACGTGTCTCTGTGTTTCAGAAGACCAGCCTCGGCTGGGAGATGCACAATCTCCCTGGCAGGCACACATCTCCAGAACCAAGGCAAGTCTTGCTGCCACTCAGGAATGTGGGTAGATGGATGTGGGTGTGGTGAAGGAACAAGAAACGGGAGGTGCAGAACAGGTTCATTTAAATCCCAGGGGAAACCACCGTTTATCTCCCAGCAGCTGCTACTGTAGCGAGAAAGAGGGATCTGTCTGTGCATCCCTAAAAGGCAGCAACTCTCCTTTCCAGGCCCGGCCCTGCTGTCCATAGAAAACGCCAAGTAATGTTTTACCCTGCCCCCAGCTCCGTCTCTGGGAATTTCCTGTTGTTCCCCTCCTCCTTCTTTTCTCCCCCTTGGAAAGCCTCTCACATCTGTATTTCATCAGCCAAAGCTGGGAACTTAATGAAGCCCAGGCAGAGCAGCAGCGGGAGCAGAGCCACGGGAATGCGTCCCAAGCACCCTACAAGGCACAGGGATACACCACTCCCCAGGCTCCAGGCCACATCCACAGCACCAGGGATCTGGGAAGCAAATGCTGACACCTCTTAAGAGTGGACACAAGTTTTACCACACATTTGATGAAAAGCTCTTGTTGTATCTGACCTTTCCCATCTGTTTGCTGTGGAACTCTGTTTGTAGTGACTCTGTGTAGAACTCTGATCTCACAAACCCTTCTTTTCCATGTATTTACCATTGCCTATTTTGCATGTAAGTTTAAAGAAAACTGAATATTATCTAGAAGTGCTGGAGATTTATATGTCTGAAGCATCGAAATACAAAACCTCTCTCCCTCCAGTTAATGGGTTATATTTGGAAAATGAACATTGATCAGGATCAGGGTAAAAAAGCATCTCTCCTTCCAAACTGAGCCCCACTTTGTTGAACCAGATCCTATAATATAGATATTCTGGATAACATTACATTATATATAATATTACTATATCCTATAATATTATGTTATAGATGATAATCACAGAAACACAGAATGGTTGGGTCAGAAAGGACATTAAAGACCATCTCATTCCAACTCCCTGCCATAGGCAGGGACACCTTCCAGTAGACTGGAGAACTCTCAGGACTTGAGAAAAATCAAATTAGCTTTGATGCTTTTAAAATGCATTTGTGGGATTCTGGTTGTACCTTTCAGTGGGACTAAAAGACAACAAGCAACTAAGTAATAGATGAAAAGTTGTAATGATCCAATGAAACTCTTGATAGTGTTAATGATATGAGCTGCTCTGAGCAACGTCAGGCATTTTTCATATATGAAAGCTGATAAGGTTATTCCTTAAAATTCTTCCCTGGTGGAAACAGAGCATCTGATAAAGCACCAACAGCTTTACAGAATGTGTCTGTAACATCCCACTGAACACACAGCTTTGCTCCAAACTTACCCTGATAAAACCAACATCAAGAGATTGCTCCATGTGGGTTGTATCCCACAAACCTCTTGTGCCCCATGGAACACAGTGCACATCCTGCTGCCTGTTTGTCAGCAGAGGAGTGCTCACTAAGGCCATTTTCTAGTTTTTATTAAGGATCAGAATGATTTCCAGACTGCTTAGGCTGGATATATACACACTTAGACTTCAACAAATCACAAAAATCAAATACAGGAGGGGGCAGAAGTAGGTGTGTGATTTTCCCCTAAAGGTAAATCTCTCCTGGCGTTATCTGTATATAAACATCGTCTGCCTTGCTGCTGAATCCCTGGCTTAAAATAAACACAGACTCATAAAAACAAATAATCCAACAGTTATAAAATATGAAAATACGGTCATTGCTCATAGGAAATTTCTTTGAAGAATGGCAGATACAGGTGTGTTTATATTGAAAGTTCTAAAACAGGAGATGTACAGAAACATCACCAATCACAGGGAAAAGAGAAATCAAAGATGTTATAGTTCTCTCCAGGATGAAGATGTTCAAAGTACATCTTTAATTCATTTAATTCATTAAAATATTAAATTATTATAAATAAAAATATAAAGTTTAATTCATTTTCATTCATTTTAAAATGATCCAAGCTCATGGAGGAGGGCGAGTTCACATCCAGGTTAGTACATTCAACTCCAATAGCTGTAAACTAATAATTGAGGCATACGAGCTTCATTGGTACTTTCTCCTCTCCTCTCAGCATCAAGTCTTAGAAAATAAAATGTAACCCTGCAAAAAATTTCTGACCAGTCTGTCCCTGTGTATTGGGTCGGCACAGATCTGCCACTTAGGGGTGAAGTCAGACAGAGCTGCTATAAAATCAGATGAGTTTCTCCTCTCAGTTTGTGGGTTGCGGTGATGTGCACTCCTCTGCCAGCCCCTCGGGTACAGGTCTGTGCCAGGGCTCGTCAGCACTCCCTCTCCAGGCTGCTGAAGAACTTGGCCAGACTCAGCTCACGAAGGGTACAAGCCCCAGCAGTACCGCCCGGCCGCCGCCGCAGGGCAGTGCCCGCCGCATCCCTGTCCTCGTCCCGATCCTGCCGAGGCAGCGGATGGAACAGCAAAGAGCCGTCTGGAGAGCCACCCTGGGCAGGACCGCTCTGCAAACATCCATGTTCAAGGACAGTTTGGAATGTCCTCAACGACTCTCTCTAACCCGTTTATGGGAGCAGCACCTGCCTCGCCCTGTGCAGTCCATTCCGTACTGGGCAGTCAACTGGGACATCCCTTCAAGCATCTGGGAGCGGCGTTTCCCTGCCCTGGGCACTGGGGGGTGGGTAGCCCCTCGAGGGCAGCAGTGCAGTTGCTCAGCTTCACTCGCCCCCGAGCACTTGTCCCTGCCTTTGCAGACACCCCCTGACCGGTTTGTTTATCGGGTTGAGTCTCGAGATTTTATACTTTCCTATTTATCTGCCACGGTCCCTCCCAGCGGTGCAGAGAGGACGGGGACAGCAGTGAAGCCCCACAGCGCTTCCGTCGCGCTGTCCAACACTGAACCCCAATATTGCTCTGCTTCCAGTAAAAGGTATTTCAATATCCCTCTCCTCGATTTGCTTGCACGGAGCTGATGCTCCGAGGCTTGGAGTTGGGGTTTCCTTCTCTCCTTTTCCCGAGGAACTCCGCTGTGCTTCCCGGGCTCCCCGAGCCGCTGCGGGTTCGGGCAGCCCTGCTGGGGCAGCGGGGAGGGGAGGAGGCGTGAGGCGGGGAGGGGGCTCTCCGAGGGGAGGAGGGAAAACTTTAGAAGTCTCCATAGTCTTTTCCTTTCAGGAAACACATCCTGTTAATGTTTGACTGCCGTGGCAGTGGTTCTGTTTGTTGCAGTCGACTACGCCCTGAGGCTCACCAAAAACAGCCACAAAAACAGCCATTTCCTCTTGGTGGGGAGGTGGGGGGCCTTTTCCTCACTGCAGTGGCTGTTCTCGTCCCGGCACTCGCAGCTCGGATCTTCGGAGAGGGACACGGCAGAGCAGCCCCCTCGAGATACTCCAGACTTGCAGAGCTCCTTTGGGATGACCGCATTCCCCTCTGGCTCGGCTTGGCTTTGAGAGGATGACATCTGTCACCATTTGCAGGATTTTCTGAAGTTTGCACCCGAACCCAGGCTTTTGGAGCGGCACTGGTTGGCTCAGAGGACCCAGCGCTCGGCAGACTCCGGCGAGCATCCCGGCTCTGCCTCGCCTCAGCTCAGGCTCTCCTGCCCCGAGACTGGATTCTGTCTGGATTCACCCCGTCCAACACGGAATGGACCTCCCTGTCACCCAGTTCATCACGGGACTGGCACTACTTATCAAAGTGCAAGAAGGTGGATAAGTCAACGCTAGAAAGGACCTAAAAAAGCTTCTCTTTGTTCTTATTTTATGGAATTCTCCTACCTACCTCAGAAAATTCTCTTTTTCTTGATCAGAAACCCCTCTGGAGTTGACTTCAAGAATGAACGGTGATGTCCTCTAGCCCCCCGTAAGCACCCAGCACAGCTGCCTGTTCCCAGCCCCATTTCAATGTGCTGATTGGGACCCCGTGTCGTCTGCAACCAGAGACTGGCAGCGAGCTGACAGTCAGATATGACTGTCCAGAAACTGGTAGCCACAGCTGTGTTGGTAGCCCTGGTCTCCCTGATCCTTAACAACGCAGCTGCCTTCACCCCCAACTGGGTGTACCAGACGCTGGAGGACGGGCGCAAGCGCAGCGTCGGGCTCTGGAGGATGTGCTGGCTGGCAGAGCGGAGCAGAGGGGCTGCAAGCGCCAGTGCCAGGCATGGCCAAGGGGAGGAGCAGGAGTGTGAAGCCCTGGGCTGGGGCTCGGAGCTGGCTGGGTTCCAGGAGTCTCGCAGCACTGTCAAACGTAAGTGCAGTCTCTTGTCTTCTGTGCGGATGCCAGGTGCGATCAGTAGGGTGCACCTGGGCCCCAGGAGATTCGGGGCCTAACCCTGAAATCATTCTTAGGTGTCTTAGTCTAATCACCTTTTCACATTCACCCCCAAATAAATTAATTTGAGGAAATAAGAATCATTATGTCCACCGGTGATGAACTGAACTCCTTCTCCTCCCCCCTCAAAGCCAGTATTCTGCATGGTGCTGTCTGGTTTATACAGCCTAGGGACTGATCTGCTTTGAAAAATCACCTGTGAAGTGTGAGCCCAAAGTTCTGAGATATCTTGGGCTCTCTTTTCCCTTCTGGGCTCCTGCCATATGATATCCCTTCCTGCTCGGTACAACACACCATAAAACAAACAAACAAAAAACCCCAAAGAAGGTATTCCAACAACACCCTGAGTTATTTCTCCCTTCTGTTTGCTTTTGTTGGAAATGCCAGGAGCAGCAAATACAGAAATAGTTTTGGTAAAAACATGTAAAACTGAGATAACCCTTAACATGTGCAACTATTCTTCTTGATCCCTCTGGGGAGACAACAAAGAAATATTAGAGGAGTTACTTTAAAAAGTGGTCTTATGTGGAACCATTTCAGATCATATTACCCAACAAAATTATGCAGGAGCATTTTTTGCACATTTGCTAATACTGAACCTGCATAAACCACAAACAGAAAATCTCTCAACTGTTCTAAAGTCCTGACCCTTTCAATACTCTTTTTTAACCGAAAGATTATAAAAAGGATTAGACTGTGGAAAAAGTTCCTTGATGTGTATCTGCAGCTTCATCCCTGGAATCACTGTCCCAATTAATATTGATATGCCATGTTCTAAACTGAACATGTGTATCATTCATGATTTGCAAAAGTACATGTTCTGTAATCAACACCAGAACGAGCTCCTGCTCAGTGAATTTGGCTCCTGCAGCGCTTTTAACACAAAAATTTGTATTTCGTGTTGTGTGTGGGTCAGGAGGTGTCTAAAGATCAGAGTGTCTAAAGATCAGAGGCAGCAGTTTCTCACCCAATTAGAATAATGGGATAGAAAATCTTAACATTTCAAAGTAATAATTATAGCACGATCGAGTGCCCAGAGGAATTCTCTGACAACCACTCTTAAAAATTGTAATTTACAGGAGGCCTTTCAAGCCCAGAAACTCAATTTACATAGGAGTAAAGCATCCATCCCCTATTTAATCTGGAAGCAAATAGTAAGCAAAAGGCCAGTTTTGAATCTTGGTAAAGCACTTAAAGGAAAATCTCCCCTCTGCAGCTGTGTCATGACACGTTCACTAGGAAACACATCTGTGGCATTTATTTTTAAGACAGCTATGTTTCCATGGCTGCACACATGGTCAGTACGAGCCTTATTGTGCATCGATGGATTTGTCTTTCTAAAGAATTTCTCTAATAAGAAATCACATCTTATTTTAGTAATATCTATGGCAATCCTCATCTGTCAGTTGTAGATAAATCACAGACGTGCAGGTGTCTGGATGTATATACATACATAAAAAAATTAACTTTATGAAGGAAGAAAGACTATGTTACCACATAGTATTTTGGATGCCATTTGTAGAACAATACATAGAAAATCTGTTCGGCCAATAGCAATGCAAAAAAGGCCATAATCTGGCTCATATAAAAAATGTACTTATACACAGAAATACATATTCGGAAGGCAAGTTATTTATCTCACAGTTCAACAGAAAAACTGTAAACCCTTGGGGAATTTGCTTGTCCATCCACTGAAGACTCCTGTATGAGTGTAACTAAGAGCCAGCTCCAGGCACTGCTACAGCAGGTTTGTCCTTGGCAGAGAGAAGCACATTCTTAGAACTTGTTTTTCACCGACTTTTCACTGCCTGCTCTTTCTGCCATTGAAATCACAGAATCACAAATGGTTTGGGTGAGAAAGGACCTTAAAATTCATCTCATTCTGCCATGGGCAGGGACACCTTCCACTAGCCCAGGTTGCTCCAAGCCAACCTGGCCTTGGACACTTCCAGGGATGGGGCACCCACAGCTGTTCTGGGTAACCTGTGCCAGGGCCTCCCCACCCTCACAGGGAACAATTTCTTTCTAGAAATGGCAAAAAAAAATAAAATCCAGGGATAGGAGTAGGTGATATTATAATGGCCAGTCTTCGCGAGCGAAGATCCGGGGAAGGTCTTTCCACCTTCCAGCCTGCGCATTGGATTTTTTAGGTGAGACACAGTGTGCGCGGAACTGAGCCCACCCTTTAATCCTAAGGTTCATCTGCCGGGGCCAAGCGAGCTTGGACGGTGGCAGCGAGGTCCTTAGGACGTAGGTGGGTTGCCTTTAAGGGCTAACGAGCCCCACCTGCCCGGGAGTGGCCCTGACCGGGAATCGAACCCGGGTCTCCACGGTGATAGCGCGGCGCCTTTACCACTAGACCACCAGGGGTTCCAGGTGATATTAAAAAAAAATACAGTGAAAGGAAGCATCACAAAGTGAACTATTTCTGCAAGGCACAACACAAGAAGTGTGGGTGACTGATCCAGGGGGAAAGGTCTTCAACTCTGTCCCTCAAACCTCCCTGCTCCTGGAATGGAGATGCCAGGCCCTTCCAGTTGTCTTTATCCACTTCTCTGCTTCTCTCCCTCTCTCAGTGCAATCCTGCACCTGTGTTTCAACCACCTGTGATGCCAAAAAGCCTCTGGGACAGTTCCAATGACTAACAGCAAGAGAACACCCATGCTGGGGTGGAAGTTTGGGACATGGGGATGGGAGGGGTTTTTGGTGGATATTTTCCATTCGATTAAGCAGAGGTATCAGAGTCCAACAAGTGCTGCTGCTAGCATGAGCCAAGTGATGCAGATGTATGGAGGGGTGAGATGGCTGCTTTTTAGTGGTAATAAAACTCTCAGATCTCAAACCTTCACTTATGCAGAGAATCATCCCAGCTATGAGGACATCAATCTAAGTTTTTCTAGCATGGACAAACCACTGGAAATACAAACTTAAAGGCTTCACTGAGAACTCAGAGTATACAGCCCCTCTTCAAAACACTTTAAGGACACCTGGTCATGTAGCCTAACTCTCCTGTCACCTAAGCGTGGGTAAAAATGCTTGCCAAAGGTTATGGAGATGTAGTTTCAGAGTTGTTCCAAAATTTTGGAATATTATGCTTTTGTCTGCATCTCTTAATGCTTTAAAAAAAGCCCACAGGTAGTAGAAGCACAACCTTAGTAAGGGCTTGGGTAAGACAGCATGTCATGAGCAGTCAACCCTCAGCTTCGTGCCCGGGTCCCAGCCAGCGATGCAGCTCCACGCAGGGACACAGCACATCCCACATGGCCTCTCAGAGCCAGCCCTGCTCAAAGCCACCTCTGCCCTGGCCCAGTACCAGGCCAGGAATACTGCATGAACACACCAAATTACTTGGAATCAACTTGGATATTTTTAGCCATCTTGTAGGGTACAGATATGCCCTTAAGTTCTGCTGTGCTCCGAGGCTATCTCTGGGCAGACAGAGGGAGCTGATTTATTCATCAGCCAAGGTCACAGTTTGTCCCTTTTTGTCTACAGAACATCAGGAACAATGTGGAAACACAGGAATAGGGAGGGGTTTAAAAGATATAAAACCTTGCTGGGTTCTTCAGGGCTGCAGGAGACATCAGGAAAATCCCAGCAGCAGGAAGCATGTGTCAAGTTCAGATGCCCAGAGCAAGATAACCCGTGGGAATTGCATTGTGACGGGGAGCATAACCCGTGTAGGGAGAGGCATAGCACAGGACAGTGACGTGACTGCCACAGGGACCCACCCAACACCTGGCTAACCTGAAGGGATGGCTGATGCACACACAGACACAGTTGCTGAAGCAGGATGCTGCTGGGGTGGGAGTGAGGAGCTGAGGTTTGCTACAGAGGCAGCAGTTCACCTCAGTGCCCATGTCCACTGCATTTACACAAAGCTCCAATGTCTCCAAAATTTCCAATTTTTCTGAAATTTGGTTGTCTGGAAGTCAGGCTGAGTCAAGCAGCTGAGCGTGCTGTAGACATGTGTTATTTGTCTCTATCTATTTTTCAATATTTACAGACCCAGAAAGGAGGCCAAGTGCAACTGGAGCAGACAGGAACTACCATGAGATTTTAAAAAGCCCAAAACCTTATCATACACATGGTACATATATTGCCTTATAGACTGCTCAGGCTGTTCCACAGAGATGAGGCAGCACAGGCAGCTCAGGGCTTGTGATTTCCCCTCCTAATATCTGAAATGTAAGCAATGTTTAAATAAGTGAAAATACTAATTTAATGGCAGAGACCAATGGAGGTGAATTCTGAAAGGTCTGGCTCTTCAAATTAGAGTGAATGGTCATTTCAGCGTGGGTTTGCTATTCTGTGTACTCATTTTAGAGAAGTGCAAAACTTCTTGGGATTTAGGACAGGAAAATGCACCTAATAGATGTTTCAATGCAGTACCTATACATGCATTACACAGAAATATTGCCAGAGCAATTAGTGTTTGGTTACTCTCACCATCAAGACTTGGAATTCAACTAAAGTGATATGAGTGGAAATGGCTTTGGAGGTTTTGAAAATTTCAGATTAATGCATTTATCACAGCCACCAACACAGAATACCCTGTTGAGGTTTATAAAGAGGCAAACCATGACATGTAGACAAGTCACATCTCATCAGAAACTATGTGACAGCTGTGTCAGTTAAAACTGATGACTGTGTAGAAGGTTCTCTGTGCTAGGTTTGCAAGGGCACATCGCTTAACCAGAAGCACTTGTTTATGTTGAAAATAGTTGGAGGAGCCATGTCTTCACTCCAAAAGTAACCACTGAAGCTGTTATAAAAAACACCCACCAACCACACTCCTCTCCCAAACAAGATCTGTCTGCCTTTCAAACTAAATATTCACAAGTGAAGTTTCACAGTTAGATGAGCTGAATGGTGAAGTTCCAAGATACCTAAAGGGATGGAAGATTCCACCAGTT